TCATACTCTCAGCAACGAGCCTGATGTTCTACTACCCTTACCACCATAACAATGAGAAAGGCCTGGGCAACCAATGTCTGTGTCAAACCAAGTTTTTGTATTTTGTTTTAAAACAAGCTGATAGCTTTTGGTAAGTTAGCAGAACCAAAAAATTATGGTCAGGGCCATAATGACATTCATATTCCCTACTACTATGCTGAGTCAAACAGGCACTTCCAGGACTCTGGTCTATAAAAACACTTCTTGTGATGAAAACTGGTGTCAGAGTCAGTGGATTTTGTTTTTAAAAAGAAACTTTGAGAAGATAAATCTGGTTATCTCACAAGGCTACCAAAGCCACAGGCACACAACTAAAATACTTCTAAAATATTTCTTCCTCTATAAAAAGAATGTTTCACTGAAGGAACCCAGAAATGTTTTTAATCCTAAAATGGCAATTTCAAAAACAAAGACTGAATCTACCCATATAACCCTTCAGGCAGGATTTAGTGAGTCCCCAAAACATTTGGACTTTGTACTAACCCAGGAACCTGGGAGCATTAATTTTAACATATATACGTATGATGCACAGAAGGAGTCCGGTAAAAACTATACAAATAAACCCAGCCCATAAAGTGGGCTTATAATCCTGAGAGCCACAGCAAAACAGAGGCTGAGGACGACACTGAAGTTGTAGTATCTTTTTTCCCCCTTTCTGGTATTCCAAAAATGCAAACCCAACCCTAAAAACATCTCACCAAACTACAAAACCGTTCCGAAAGAACAAGGCTTTAAAACTCAAAGTCTCATAAACCAAGTTTTTGGAGCACACTTACCTCACTAATGAAACTTAGGATCTTCTTTCCAAACTTCTGTTTATTTTCACTCTGAAACTGCAATCCATTTTGAACAGGGGCTCCATGTGCCCTGAACTTAGCCTGGAGCCAGGACCATGGAGGCTTCTCTGCCATCTTTTCACTTCCAATCTCTTTTAGATCATCTCTCCTTATCTCCAAGTCTCCACACCCCCGTACTACCCCCTTTTCTATCCACATTTCCTTTTCTCCAATGTTATTTTATTCCACCGCATGAGAACAGACTAGCATTATCTTTGCTTGAAAACTGTTTATTAATTTGCCTGTCAAACATTCTATAGAGCCGTTTATATCTTACTACAGAAACCTCCTGGGTACATATTGACAGCTCAGCAAGTATTTACACAAAGCTCTGAAACATTTGGTTCCTTCACAGAGGAAGAAGCTGCTGTGTCAAGCAGAGAATTATCAAACACCTTTCCCCCTTTTATAAAGGGAAGCTTCCTTCTAGCCTACTTCTAAGATGCCTAAATTACACTTCTAAACTACTAAGCCAGAAGGAGAAAGAATGGAAATTCAGGTGTGCTGGAGAAGAGAAAGAATAGCACTTCCAGGAGCACTTGCAAATCACACCACCTAGATTAAAAAGCCAAAGGTATGAGAAAAGGCAATAGGTCTATGAAATTGACCCTGTAATGCTTAGCTTTTCCTGTTCCAGTCTCAGGAACTTTTGCTCTTCTCTCAGCAAAACTTACAGGGCAAGTTCAGGCACTCAGATTACAACCAACTGCCCAAACCAGACCTAGACCTGCCCAAACACCCGAAGAGTCTGGAGAACTTAAAGCTACCTCTCCCCACCTTCCTACCCCCCTGAAAGCAGCAGAGTGCTAATGTTATGAATGTCTACTCCCTCCCCCACCCTGAACCTACTCCCAAACTCCCCTCGTGGAGATTTTGAAGCAACTATTTTTCAAGTCTTGCTTTAATGGAGTCTGCCCAATTTTTCAATTAATGTTTAGTGTTTTAACCACCAGCCAGGTGGAATGATTAATGATAAACATAAACAGTTTTAAAGCAAAATAGTCTGGTAGGGCTTTTGCTGTAAAGGGCCACAGATCATTGTGGTACCCAACTGTTCAGAGCTTGTTCCCGTAAATCCTCAGGAGAAAACAGCCTTGAGTTCTTCAGGCCCAAGGGAAGAAAGATGGTCTCAAGACCCCTACCGGTACATGTACAGGAAGAAGTTGCCCTCATAAGTCAGGTATGGAAGCACAGCCCAATGTGTAGCATCAGAGAGGAAGAAGACCATGCAGTCCACCAACTTCACTTTACTGAAGGGAAAATAAAACCGAGAAGGTCAATGGCTTGCCCCAAATCACACAGCTTAATCTAGAGCTGCATGTGGAACCAAAGCCTCTTGCTCCTAAGTCTTGTGCTCTTTAGCCCTCACCACTATGTTACACACAACTCAGGGCGCATCAATAATGATAATGACCAATCCAAACAAGGAGAAAGCCATGGTAATCAGAACTCCATTTTAGAGACTGAGGTATCCCAGCTCACCGGCAGGAAAGAACAATTCAGTGCCAATTTATTCTGAATACCATATTTTAACACATATTCTGCTTGGTTCAGTGGCTTCTAGAATTTTGGGATTTGAAGCCAATCAATACAACCCTGGAGGGGGGTGGGGTGGGAAAGGGCCCTAACCATACTTTGTTAGCCTATTTCCACATTTTAAAAAAAGTTCACTAACCTCGCTGCTAAAGCCTACTGTAGACATCACACCCTACAGGAATCAATCCAACAGATGAATGTTTAATGCAATCCAAGACATCTTATTACAGCAGGTGCCACTTGTCACGGTTACTCTGTGTCACACACAAAGGAAGGTACCTTGCAAAGTCCTTATAGGGCCCAATACAAAGAAGCCAACCTTGGTCCTGCTGCTTTCTCTTCTCTTGCCACCATCCCAACCCCCATCACCCTTAGTTCTCTCATGGACAGTAGAGAAACATGAAGCCTCAAAACTAAGTGCCATCTCAGTGTGGTTTTCCCAGTCCCTCCTACTTGAGAGAGCTCCAAGAGTCCTGTATTTTAGCCAGCCTAGAATTTCTGCCAGTAGGCATTCCCATAATAAGCCCAAGATTCCTGTATTTGTTTCCCAGGAGTCGGAAATATCATTTGATATTTCCATAGCAAGAACTAACAGCCAAACTTCTACAATCAAATCCATCTTGACCCTGGACTACATATTCTATTTCATTTTTTACTTTGATGAACTGATACTACTCTCAAGGTACTACAGCTAAAAGCATCCCAAATAAAAAACTTCACATGAGGTTCAAGTGCATAGGTGAGCAAAAAGTATTTCATCAGTAGCAGGATTCAACACCTTGAGACACAGTATTACTTATGGAAAGCAATAAAAGAAAAGTTTGCCTGCTAGGATCTTCCCGCTCCTGTGAAAAAGAGAGCCACAATACAAACACTTAGCTAATCTTTATTTCATAAAGGCAGAGTCAAATGAGAACATTACCACCTTAGCTGTGTCAATCAATTCTCTGCAAAACAGTCTTAATCCAAGACTGAGAAAGGGACAGAGCAAGACCCTGTTATTTAAGAATGCTTAAGAATAAGGCTTCATGGTCTGACAAGAGCTTTATCCTTAAGTAGCAAAGAGGAATTCATATCAAAATCTATCCACCTACAACCTTCGTGGAGACTACCACAAAACTGAAAGTTGTACTGTCTCTTCCACAAGTGAATGCTCACCACCCCCTTCTCTGGGCATAGGGGAGTAGGCAACTGAACTGAAATTGAACAGGAACCTATGTTGTTTTAAGTGTTAGGTATGGTGATGTTAAAAGTGAATCCAAAAATTCACCCAGAGGCAGCACAAACAAGCTTCCAGACAGGGACTACATCTATTTTTCTACCATTTACTCTGCACAGAGCATAGTACCTAGCACATAAAAGTGCTCAAATATTTAATGACTGAAAAACAGAAATCACTCTATGGCAAAAGTTGGTTTTATCCCCCTCCCTCCAAAAAACAAAGTGTTTGCCTGAATATCCCCAAACCAGCAGAATTCAAATTAATTTTTGCTTTTAAATGAGTCTTGACTTACCCCAAATTATTTCTTCTAATAATTTAAGAAAGGTAAATGGCTCAGACTCCCTCCCCTCAAGGGGAAAGAAATGTAATATGTCTCTTATCCGGAGACAAGAGGATGTTCTCTTTCCTAAGACAAAACTTATCCTCCTGCACCAGAAATTCCATTTAAAATTCCCGTTTCTTGTCCAAACACAGAACATTATAGACGATGTGGAGTCAAGGCACAGAGCTCTAAATCTGCCATTTAACACAGCTTTTTTAAAAATTCCCAGCTCAAGAGAAGAGAAAAGCAGTTCTAGGATGAGGAAGGAACACAGCTAATCAGTGAACAAAATCTCATAGCAGGAAGGTACAACTGGGTACTGCTGGGGGTAGGGGGGCATGAAGAGCTTTTCCCCTCGTTCAAAAGATAGTCACTCCACAGAATACCCAATATTCCTGACGAAAACGCTTAAGAACATGAAGAGGTACTAAGAGCAAATAAAAATAAAACAGAATGCATAAAAATGTACCTGAAAGATGTCATTTCTAAGCAAATATCAAGTACCATTATAGGTTCTATCTTTATTATCTTGGAAGATAGGGGGGAAAAAAAGTGGAACATACCTTAAAATGCAAAGAAAAAAATCAGATGATCTCTATTTCAAAGCTCTAAAATGATGACAAAACAGAAAACTAGCCTTTCTGATATTCCAGGAACAAATGATAAATTTCACCAAACCAGGCCTTTAGGAGAAAGTCCCTGCAAGATCATTAAAGATGTCAGCTTCTCTTTAAATTGAGCTGCTCTCCCAAAGTTCAATTAACAAAAGAAAGTGTAAACAAGATTCAACATGTAAACAAAGAAATGAGGCCAGTCTTCCTTAAAACAGAATACTTGAACTTAATATGAAATTCTCTCAGAAAGCTTCCAGTTCTTAAAAAAAAAAAAAAAAAGTTTTCTCTTACCCCTCCCATAAAGATCCCACATTTGTCACTCAATAAAAAGCCCAGTAAAATAATTTCAATTCTGCAAAGCGAACAGGGTCAAAATTACTCAAGACAAATGCATCTTCAGAGCCATCAAAGAAGTCATTTATACCATCAGGAAAGTCACAAAACCAAAACAAACAGCAAACCCATTGTAGAGAAAAACTCGGCTACTGTTCTGACAACACAGAATCTATTTCAGGCTGCATAAAACATAACAAGCAAAATAAATCCAAGGTACAAGCAAAATGCCACTGCCTCTTCTTTTGTTTCGGCACAATGTAACAAGGGCAGCCTGTCTGGGGCTCTGCTCCTGCTGATACAGTATTGCTGCTTAAACCTCCCTCCTCAAGGTCACAGCCAATTTCAGCTCTGGAATAAAAGGCAGATAGTGGCAGCGATGGTTTGGGTTATCACTGGCAGAAAAGCAGAGTGTAAAAGTTTATGAGCTCATCAGGATTGTTGTACCATTACATCAGAGGCAATTATAAATGGCCAAGAGCAGGAGATGGGGAGCCAATCAGATCACAGATAGGATGTCAACCTAAGACCAACTGTCTCCTGGCTTTGACAGAAGGATTTTACCTCCATAATTCAAATCCCAAACCAAAGCAATCTGCACTTACTACTCCAATCACTCAGCTGTTTACCAGCACTTCCAGGGAGAAGCCCAGGCCACTGGGCCGACGGAGACTAAGACAGGAGATGGCCCGGGCTGCCCTGGGTGAACCGCAGCCGGCCTCTAGCTGCCCCCAAGCAGGCCCCTGCCCTCCCCCGAGGTACCCCAGAGCCCGAGGGGCCCCTCCTTGAAAGCACAAATGGGGAACGGCCTAGAAGAAGGCAGGAGAGCGGGCAGAGAGGAGCGGCAGGTGAGCAAAGAATTGTTCACTCAACTCCCGAGCTCCTAGCACTGCACACCCCTAACCTGAGCCCCCAGCACCCCCCACACCCTGGGCCAGGCCCTTCCCCGCACATTCTGCCCCGCACCCCCTTGAAGACCCCAGGAGTTCGAAGGGACCAGGGAAGAGGGAGAAGGGGAGCATACACCTCAGGGAAAGCCCCACACAAAGGCTGAAGGAGGGAAGGAGAGGAAGGCAGACAGGCAGCCATTTTAAGAGAAGAGCCAGACAATGGCAGCTCCCCAGCAGTGGGGGCCCCGGACTGGGGGTAGCCCAAGGCTGTGGCCTGCTCCCCGCAGCCGCCACCCACTCCCAGGACCCCGCTCGCCCCAGCCCCCTCCCCACTCAGCTGTGTACCTGCGGGGTCCGGGCGAGCGGCTGCCCCCCGCCGCCGCTGCTCCCGGGGCTCATGGGCGCGTGGTGGCTCCTTTGTTGGGCCCCTCCCGAGGCGGCTGCTGCCGCCGCCGCCGCCGCCGCCGCAGCCCCCCAGCACTGCGAGGCCATGTCCGCCGGGCCCTTGCCGGCGCCCCCGTCCTGGGGACCGCCGCCGTAGTCGCCCCCGGGGTAGCCCTGGTAGCCCCGGGCCGAGCTGGGCGATGTGAGCAGTTGGTTGAGGGTGGGGGTGGCGGTGGGCTGGGGGGTTCCCCCGCCGGCCGCTGAGGGGCCGCCTCCCCCCATGGCCCCGAAGCGCTGCTGAGCGAAGGACGAAGACGACGAGGAGGCGGAGGCGCTGGAGGAGGGAGGCGGCTTGGAGCCGGCGGCCGCCGCCGCGCCGGAGCCCGGAGTGCCACCTCTCGGGGAGCTCAGCGCGTAGGCCTGGGGGGGCGGGGGGTAGGCGCTGCGGTTGGGGTAGTAGGAGTTGTACTGGTGGTTGGGGAAGCCGTGGTCGTGCGAGTTCTGCTGGGGCCCCGCGTAGGGCTCCAGGCCCCCGCCGCCGCCGCCGCTCTGCAGCGCTGCCAGGCCAGGGCTTTGTTGTCCGCCATGTTGTTGGTGGAAGACGGCGGCCGCCGCGGCGGCGACGGCAGACGGGCTCCGGCCGTAGGGTTGCCCGAAGCCGTAGGCTGGGGGCGGCAAGGCGGCCGCGGCTGAGTGAGGAGGCGCCCCCACCCCATCGCTGCTGCCGCCGCCGCCGCCGCCGGGCGGCTCCGTGAGGTTATTGTTCAGGGCGGGCCTAGGGCCCGCGTTCCCGTTCGAGTTCTTCAGGTCCGGCTCCGCGCCGGGCCCGCCGCCGGCGCCGGCTCCGCCGCCGCCGCCACCCCCATTGCTCTCGGCCCCGTCCTGCAGCTCCTTTCCCAGCGGCTGCGGCGGCCCCACGGCGGGGCCCTCGCTTTCCTGCCCGGCGGCTGCCTTCATTTCCCCGCGCTCGGCCACTGCCGCCGCCGCCGCCTCGCCCCCCGCCTCCTCCCGCTGCTGCTGCTCCGCTTTCTTCAGCTCCGAGGGCGGCGGCGGCGGGTTGCCCAGGCTGCTGGCGGCGGCGGGGGCGACCTGCGCGGCCATGATCCCCGCTGTCTCGTCCGCGGAGAGACCCGGCCCTGTCTTCGTCTTCTCCCCCCCTCCCACCCCGCCCCGGGGCCGAGTCCCCCGGGCTGCCCTCCCCACCCGCCCGGGCGGGCCTCGCGGGGCTCCGCTGCTGCGCGGCGCTCGCTCGCTCGCTCCTCTCCCCCCCGCCCCGCCGGCTCAGGCTCCGGGCTGGCGGCGGCGGAGGAGGAGGAGGCGGCGGCGGCCGAGGCGCCGGCGGCTCAGCTGCTCCCGGCTCTCTAGGCTCGGGACCCGGCTCTCCCGGCTCATTCCCCCCAAGCCCTTGCCTGGGAATGAGGGGGGCGGTGGAGGCTCCGCTCCCCAGGGCCTGGCCCCGCTGTGACTCTCCGCTTTCTGCTGCCGGAGAAAGGAGGAGGGAGGGAGGGAGGGAGGCGAGGGGGAGGGGGCGGGGAGGGAGGGAGGGAGCGGGGGGAGGGGGACCCGGGACGGGCGGGCTGGAGGGCGCGCGGCAGCAGCCCCGGCGCCGGGAGGCAGAGTCGGAGCGCGGACCGGGCCGGGCGCCCTGCCTCCCCTCCCCGGCCGCGGCGCGGGCCGAGGCTGCTGCGCGGCAGCGGGCTGGCGAGCGGGCGGGCGGCCGGACTGAGCGGCTAGAGCGCCCCACTCTCCTCCGAGTCCCCCTCACTCCGACACGAGGCTCAGCACTGCCATTTTACCCAGCGCCGTCGCGGCCGCCTGGCAAACCCGGAACGGAGCGCGGAGCGGGCGCAGGCCATGGAACGGACTCGCTCCCTTCCCCTCACAAAGGAGGAGGGGAGAGAACGAGCCGCGGCGCCGGCAGGCCCTCTGCCGCTTTCGCTCGGCAGCGCCGCCGCCGAAGGCTTCGGGGAAAACCCGGCCCGGAGCCTGCGCCTCTCCGGAGCCTGCGCTGCCTCCCTCCTGGCGTTCCTATCCGGGTCGGTCCCCTCCAGGCCGCACCGAGGGGAGCGGGCAGCGTGAACTTTACTCGCGGCTGTAAAATTGGCCTGAGCCCGAGACCGCGGCCGCCTCGGCCCAGGCCTGACCCCCTGGCAGCGGGCCTGGTCTCTTGGCTGCTGCTTAGCACCTCTACAGCACTTTTCTTCAAAGCCTTTTACAAACCCGCTCTTAAAGACCCAGCTGAGTGAGCGAGCAGGGCCTTGCATTTTACCCCCCTTTGCAAAGCCCAACGGAATGAGGGGTCATTGTTCAGACTTTTCGTTTTCCCACTCCTCTCCCTCATTAGCCGGACCTCATAAGGCCCTGGGGGCATGAGGTCCCATTATCCCCATTTTATAGAATTGGAAGACAGAGGGGAAGGGACTGCCCTGTCAGAGGGCACAGGAGGATGATTTTAAAAAGTACCCTGCCTCCCCGTCCACTTAGCCTTAAAAAAAAAAAAAAAAAGCGATCAAGTCGTGTCATATCCAACAATGGGATCAGGATATAATAATGGGTTTGAGATCAAAGCTGATCATCTCAGCCTTGGATTATCTCGACACTAACATAAAATGTTCACCACTGAAGCTACTTTGGGGGCATATGACAGCCTTCTAGCAGGAGAACCCAAGCCCAATCTTTTCCTCTTAAGAGAACTTAGAGCACAATGACCATAGTCCCAGTCTTCAAAGACAGTACCTGTAAGACTGTGAATAGTCGACAGAAGAGGCTCCAGGGACTGGAGGAAACCGAGTGTTCAAAAGAACCAGTGCAGAAAAGGGATGGCCGCATGGAGAGAAACCATTTTCTCCTTAACTTAAAGAGAGAAAAGGGGCAGTCTCACAGGCCACTTGAAGAAATGGATGTAACCAAATTTGTTTTCTATCCTCCAGTGTAAAGATTCTTCAAAGTTTACTATTATATTCCAAAAGATGCCAATTGAGCTAGAGACATACATAGAAAACACTAGATCCACAGCCCTACCAAATCCCAGCAGCAACCTTTTCCTCCTCAAGCTGACTTGGAATGCTCTGACGTGACAGGGCTACAAAAGCCAGAGGGGATTCCAGCTCCTTACCAGGCCCAAGGCTGCCTTGGGAGAGGTTCAGGCCAGTGTAGTCACTGGACACCAGGGCCTCTTTTCCCCTCAGATTTTATAAATGGAGACTTCATAGCCACAGATCCATTATCTTAGAACTTCCAGATCCTGCAGGCCCTTTGGACAAGCTCTGGTCATGCCACTGGTCACCGTGAATAATTCCAAAAACCTGAAGTCATTCCTACTCCAAAGAAAACTTAATATCATCTTACACTAAAAAGGCAAAACCCTCCTGTTAATCTAAGCCTGGTGGGGTTTTTTTCCCCTCAAGCCAAGAACCAAACTACTAGGCTCTGACTGACTGGAATGGGCCAGTGCCCTCATTTCACTCACAGTCCTCAGGGGCAACTACTCTCCCAGTGCATTAGGTCCTCAAAACAAAATTATAGGCTGCCTCATAAATGGAGCTTGGCTATTTAATCAACTGCTTCTGAGCTGGCAAACAGTCCTGAGTCCTGCACACAAATGAGGAATTTTTACATGCAATTACCCTGCCATTTTCCTCAGAGCTGGAGTGTAATGGGAAACCTGGAGCCCAGTGAAAATCTGGGAGCCAGAATGGATTTGTCTCCAGAGAAAGCCCTCATCCCCTTTTTTTCAATGGCTGTGAAATTTGGAAAGTGCCAAAATCCCTTTCCTACACGTGGGCACGCTGTTTTGAAAACAGCCACCATTTTTATCTAGCAATAAGGTAAAGTGCACAATGATCTATCCAAGTGGATAGATTTTTGTGCACTTTACCTTATTGCTAGATAAGGCTGGAGGAGGTAATGTGGGATTTTTCCTTTACCATTTTTTAAAAAATCTCAGATCCTTTAGGGTCCTCTTCCACCCCTGCCTTTAGAGCCCCATGCCACTATCCCAGGGACTGCCGAGTTGAAGGGAACTTTCTTAGAAACTGGCCCAACAGCTTTCCCTAGGGGCAATGGCAGCGGGAAAGGGGGGGGAGGGGAGGAGCTGGGCACGTGGCTGGCCAGAGCTCCAAGACCCAGGTTAGGGGCTGCGGGTTCTCCCCGTGGAGTTTTCTCCCCCACAGCCCCACTGTTTTAACCCCACACCCAGGCAGCTCAGGAATCCCGGCGCAGACTGCAGAACTAGGACTAGGACAGCGCTACCCTCACGAAAGCGCCTCAGCCACCAACAGCCTGATGGCAAATATGGACTGAATCGTTGACATGGAAACCGGACTAAAGTCTTGCTTGCTCCCTCACAAGAGAGTTCTTATCGCCATCCCCGACCGCACAGCACTTGGCAAACGTGGACTGGATCTCCCGCCCAGCGGATCAGGCGGAGTTTCTGCGCTCAGCTTTAACTCCAGCGGCTGCGGCAGCCAAGGAGGGGGGCAGGGCTGCCAGGACAAACCGACTGAAAATGGCAGAGTATGTGCTCTCATTTTATCCAGCTTCTACAGTGTGCACGGATTGGGCCCGAAAGTAAGGGAACAACCTATTAAAATCCACGCAGTCAACTGCAAAATGTGGAACCGAGGCCTGGAGGGCTTGCTAAGAGACGGAAACGTTTGCTGGGAGGACAGCCCTTCCTTTCTCGCAATTTGCTTCTCCAAAGTGTCCGAAATATAAAACTCAAAAAACGAAAGATCGGGCTCGGCTCTCTCCTTTCCCCACTTCTTTCGGGGGAAGACGTTTTAAGCCCCGGGATCCTAGTGAGGGTGTGCCTCGGTTCTGAATAAGGCGCGGGGAACCGGTGGAGCGCCGGGCTGCGGGCCCCACACGCGTCCCCGCCGCGGCAAAGCAGGAGACACCCAGCGGAGCTCTCCCCAAGTGCGAACTGGAGCTGCGAGTTTGAGCAAAAGGGCAACTATGTCAGTTGACGGAAGCCAGAAGCAGAGTTCAAATCCTGGCGTGGATTTCCGTCTGGAACTGCCTGCTTCTTAAAGTTTGTAACTCCGTGTTCAGAAACAGCCCCAGCGGAGGCTTTGGGAGCAGTGTGAAAGTCTAGCACTACCATCTGACAGCAAGCAGCAAAACTTTGGGCTGCATATTAAGCGAGGAAAGTGGATTGAAGCGAGAGTCAAGGCAATTCATTATATTATCGGCTCCCAGACGGGAGCTGTAAGATACGAACTGGATCGCCACGGAGAAAAATGGAATGGAGTCTAAATGGCGCTCAACAGCTCTTAGCGGTAAAATTGTGCCTGCCCAGCACCTAGAATCCTGAAGCAAGCAACTCCAGAGGCATCGAGCTTGGCGGGCGCTCAACAGATGCTTGTGTAGATGCTTTCTTCCACTCATCTCAAAGTTTTAAAATAATTTGGAGGAATTTACATTTAGAATAATAAGGAACACATTTTGAGAAATGTTCATTTCTGAATGAGGCTTTCTTTTTTTCCCCTACCAGAAGAGTAGCTCTGCAAAAATACCTTAGGGTGTAAATCAACTTGCTTTTTTTGTACCAACATAAAATGAGAATTACCCTCACCATCACCTCCCCAAAACCTAAAATCAGAAATAAAATAAAAGATCCAGGCTGGTCTGGTTTGTGGCAGATTTCAAACAAAACCTAACAACCCAGATTCAATCTAACATGAGGAAATAGGTACCAAGTCTCACACTGTAATATGTACCTTTTCCTTATCCACCAATCTCATTGGCGAGCTTGCTGACTATTCTTTTGGAGAAGACAGAGTAAAACTTCTAACAATATTTTAAAAGACAAACAAACATACCTGAACTGGAGTTTTATAAAACCACTGGGCAGATCAAGAATTTGGACATTTCTGCTGAGCCTCACTGAAGGTTTATATTCATCAACTGATACAAAAATAGTATATGAAAAATCTACTTGCCAAAAAGCTTGAAAGCCACGTTAGAGTCCACCAGAAGAGAAACTGAATGATTTTGTATTTGGGACTTATTACACTAAGTTGTTTTTCAATTTGGAGAGCTAAATACCACCAATATTACCAAGGAAAGATAAGGTCAGCAATCTTAATATTGAGGGCTATTGCTCAGGAACAGGAAAAGTCTGTTATCTTTGACTTCCCATATTAAACCAATGTAGGCTGCTTTTGTTTTGCTTTACTTTAAAACCAATCTAGGAAAATTTCACACATGTAAAATGATTGTAAGGGAAATTTTTGAAAGTTGAGGGTAGAAGAGAAAATCCGAAGGAAAATAAAATATTCTAGGTGGGTGTTTATTTCAGCCCTGATTGCATAAAGCTTTCTTGTACTGCCATTTTACTGAGATAGGAAGAAGAGTCAGTGAGTGGGGAAGTTTCTCGTAGCAACTCTGGAATGGATCTGGAATGGAGTCTTTTTCTCCAACACAAGTTCTGTAGAAGAGAGTGGGAAAGAGAAGGAAAAATTGTGTGAGCACTGACAAAATGGAGGGAGGCAGGCAGGCAGTCCTGTAAACCCGGATGGGAGGCTGAAACAGCAAATGTGCCGCCTGTTCTCTGCAACACAGCTACCTCAAGAGAATACTCCAGCATGATCATCCGGGCTTTTTATGTAAGAATCAAAGAAAATCCAAAGGAACCTATTAGGCATAAGACAGGAAGTGAATGGCCCCTAAGGGAAAGCATTCTGACTAGCTTTAATAGAATTGAAACCCAACTATCCCTACAAAAAGAAAATGGCTTCTTCCAAAGATAAAAGTGGACCAAACAAAAAAGTGAGCTGTGATCTACTGTAGTGGTAGTGTTATGGCACTCCAGTGAAATGCAGAACTTACCAATGACACCAGAGGAAAGCTGCCATGAAAAACTCCAGTTGGTTTTGGCACTTTTCCAAATTATCACTTTCTGCCTGGAAATTTAACAACTTTGGATTCAGAAGCCACCAGAGGGGCTAGAGGGCCGGGACCGGCAGGTTAGTGCTCATTGGCCTACCCTTCCAAAGATACTACTGGAAACCTGTGTACAAATGTGTTGTTGTTCTGCCAGTCTTGCTGTGGAGGGAGAAAACAGGAGACAAAGGAGAAACAACCCAACACACTTCATCGCGCCTATCCGACAGGCCACTGAAAAACAGCACAGAACCTCCCACCACACACACATACACATACTCCTCTCTACCACAGTGTGTTTTCATTAATAGAGTCCATCCACACACTACACTCAAACAAAAGAATACACAATGCCATACAACATTAGGCACGATTTTTGCCCCCAACACCAAGACCAGGATGTAGATTATACATTGCTTAAATGTGAGGTCCCTTTTGACTTAGAACAGTCCAAGAGCTCATTTATTTTTTTTTCCCCAACCAACCAAAGCTACCTAAAAATATGGATACTCTGTCCAGCAAAAAAGAGTGGATGGCTAATATCGTGTTTCCCCTTTAGCCCAGCTAAAGTTAGAAGTCCAAAGTATTCTAGAAAAGGAGTATTATAGTTGACTCCACACCTACTCTCTGTTTTTTTATGAACTAGCAGCCAGTGTTTCTAAGATGGAATCATAGGAGAGTTGGAGTACTACATGGCCTTCAAAAAGATCTTCTCTAGGAAAAAACTTAGAGGTAAGGAGGTAATCCTGATTGGCTACTGAGGATTTTTAGTAATCCATCATTAGCACAATTTGTAACTGATTGTGGAGAGGTTAGATAGAAACCATTTTTATAAACTTAACCAAATACTATAGATCAAGGGCACTCAGTTTCCCCCTTGAATACTCCCCTTTCATGATGAGGCAGCTTTACCCTATGCACCTGACCTTCATCAGCAATCCTTGCGTTGCGTGTGCTATTCTGACCCAATTCACACCAAAATGGGTCTTCTGGGGCTCAGAAATCTTGTGAGTATATTATTCTTTCAACTAGAATGTAATAGCATGACTATTGCTAATAATAAGATCATTCCAAAGCCATATTTATATACTTCACTCAGTACCTTGTTCCTTGCCTTTTTTGTTTTTAGGATTTTATTTACTTATTTGAGAAAGAGAGCACAAGTTGGGGAGGGGGGACACAGAGGCAGAGGGAGAAGGAGACTCCTTGCTGAACAAGGAGCCCGATGCAGGGCTTGATCCCAGGACCCTGAGATCATGACCTGAGCTGAAGGCAGACGCTTAACTGATCCACCCCGATACCCCTCTTGTTCCTTGCTTTAACTATCTCCTAGAAGACTTATTAATACTATGTTTGGCATAGACATTATTTTTATTTTTTTTTATTTTTTAAAGATTTTATTTATTTATTTGACAGAGAGAGACACAGCAAGAGAGGGAACACAAGCAGGGGGAGTGGGAGAGGGAGAAGCAGGCTTCCTGTGGAGCAGGGAGCCCAGTGCAGGGCTTGATCCCAGGACCCTGAGATCATGACCTGCACCAAAGGCAGATGCTTAACAACTGAGCCACCTAGGCACCCCTGGCATAGACATTGTTTTAAAAAAAGATTTATTTATTCATTTATTAAGATTTTATTTATTTATTTGACAGAGAGAGAGAGAGAGAGAGATCACAAGTAGGCAGACAGGCAGGCAGAGGGGGAGGGAGAAGCAGGCTCCCCGTTCAGGTTCAGCAGGGAGCCTGATGCGGGGCCTGATGCGGGGCTTGATCCCAGAACGCCGGGATCATGAGCTGAGCCAAAGGCAGACGCTTAACGACTGAGCCACCCAGGCGCCCCTTATTTATTTATTTTTAGAGAGAGAGCACAAGTGAGAGGGAAAGGGAAAGAGAATCTCAAGCTGACTCCACGTTGAGTGCAGAGGCTGACGAAGGGATCAGTCTCACCACCCTGAGATTTCCAGAGCTGAAGCCAAGAGTTGGATGCCACCCAGGTGCCCCTTTGGCATAGACATTTCTAAAGTCCCACAATAAAACTCACAGGACGGCCTTGTGATAACAAGAGTTCTAGGACTAAATGCAATAACAAACAGGAACAGTCATGCCGAGCCGTAACCGTTCACTGACATTACCTTTTGATTGCCTGTGAGTGACTCATATTCTCAATGATCTGCTAATTGAAGATTAATTAATTTAGTAGGTTCTTCACCATTGCACATCATAGGATCTGACCCAGTCTCTCCCTTACCTCTACCCCACATGTGCACACATACACACACACACTCTGACATCATGTTTCGGTGTATGAGAAATATTTAATAGGAACAACAGGGGAAACATTTTCTAAACAACTAAAAATATGAAGGGGACTGGATAATAAGGGATGCTTGTTTTCTACTTTAAGGTTTTTACTTCTATACTTAAACCCCAGAACACATACACACACACATACACACATACGAATATATGCGAATATACATATTATACATACATAAAGAATTCAAAACAAGTTTTTAAAAAAGGGCATCTTCAAATATATATATGTCTTTTTAAGGGATCACAGATGCCAGCCAGGATTAGGGTTATACCAAACGTTACCAAACATATTCTATACTGCCATTTTCCACACTAAGTGAAACAGAACAAAAACATGGAGAAGGAATTTACAGGAATGGAGTACTACAAAGATGTGAAAACTCTGTGAGAGGTCTTCTTTTGGGAGATGGGGGGGTGGGGATTAATTAGGGAAAGACAAGATTTAAACAGGATGACCTACCTAGTATTCAAGGCAAAGAGTCTACCATTTGAGAGCTATATCAACATTTGAGACAAATGTCCAGACTTTGATTTT